CACTAAGTTATTAGCTCCAAGAGGGCGGAGTTTGTCTGTTTTGTTCACCAGTGTATCACCAGCATTGGAACAGAGGCCAGCATTAGAAGGACATCAATAATTATTAGTTGAATGAATGAATGCGTGAATGAATGAAACAGGTAACGTCTTACGCTCTGAAAAATAAAAAATGACTAATATTTCATGTCCTCCAGGGGCACACAGGCTACTTGGGCCTGCAGCCTGTAACCTGACACAATTAGTTAAAATACCAAGTGAGAGTGTTAAGTGCATGGGAGTGAGGTTGGCCCAAAGGAACACGAATATCGTGATAGCTGTCAGTGCCTGAAAGCGGCCTATGCCATCACCATCCTGGCATCTCACATGCATCATTCATTACTCTTCATACCCCCTCTGGAGAGGGTGGGGAAGAATGCACAGAGGAAGTGAGACTCTGAGGTTCAGTAGGCAATCCAGGCAGAGGGATCAGCAGAGCCACTGGGGCATGGAACCACATGGGCTGCTGGGCGACTGACTCTAAGCCTATGATCTGATGGGTGGAGCCCGGGGAGCTGCAGCTGGTAGAGGTGGCATTTGGTGTGGCTGGAGAGTCCCTATCCATTAGGCTATGAGCGGCCCATTTGCTCAGTGCCCTGCAGCAGGCACACATATGGAGCGTGTCCGATGACAACATCCGATTCACAACCAGGCAGCCAGGGCACCCACGTGTCAAGTGACTCACTGCCATTTTTTCCAGGTGGGCTAGAAGTCCACACCACCCTTAATGCTTAGTTCTTGGAAGCCTGCTCCCTCCTTCCACTTCTTACCTGCAATTCTGAGATGTTGCCCATACCACCTCTAGACCCCATTCTACAAACTGTTGAAAACTATGCCACACCCTACCCCCCACGTCACCCTCTTCTTGCCTCAATGTAAATAGTGAGAAATAACCTATGGCACTGAGCCGATGGATTCTCTCTCAAGAAAGACCCAATTGTTGAAGATCTAGTGCAAGGAGAAGTCATAAATATCCCAGTTTGCTGCAGTTGAGAGGAATTTACCACACAGCAATTAAGGAAAACTGGTTGCCTGTGGAGGAAACATTCAGACTCCCAGTGCAGAATTCTGGGGTAAGTCCACTGCCAAGTCCCTGAATCATAAATGCCAGGGACAGGGGATTTTAGGGAAGAAGCCCTGGGCTCGTAAAGGCCTCCCTCACTCAGGGGATGTGATTTCTCATACACAGGAGAATATGGTAGAGGCCAAAGCTCTACCCACCAGATTTCTGTTGGTTCTTTGTAAGAGCTTTCATTGTGGAAGTGTGTCTCGAGGTTGTACGTCACTGGAGGAATTCAAGCAGAGAGTGAAATCATCCTTCCTTGGAAGGGAAGCAAGCCTTTGGGGTGCAGATGGACAGGGTAGAGTATTGGGGGGGAGAAAGAGAGACGCCGAAGGAAGAAGCTGATGTTCTTAAGGCCAGGTCCCCTCCTGACCCAGGTCTATAAACCTCCCACCAGGAGCCCCCAACCCCAGCTGTCTCTGCCCTCACACTGATCTGTTTCCCATTCCCTGCAGCTTCCAGTGAAGTTTCTAGAATCTTAGCCCTGAATCCCAGGCTCTTGCCCCAGCATTTTGGCAGAGTATAGGGAAGAGGCAATCCAAGGGTGCCCTCTATTTCCTTCCTTGCCCCTTTAAATGTAAGAAACTGGACTCAGAGGGTACTAGAACCAGTACCAGGATCCTAGGTTCCAGAGCCCACTGTTTCTAAAGCACCTCCAAGGAAGAGATTTCCAACATCCAGCAGGGAGAGCCTCACCTCGGAAGAGGGCTAGAGTGTGGTGGGGTATGTCCAGGGATACCCAGGAATAATTTTTTTCCTCCCCTTATCCCACAGCCCCCGTTTCTTTGTAGGTCTAGAGCACTTAGGATGGGGAAGGACCAAGCACTTAGGTTGGGGAAGGTCCTAGACCGTCCCCCAAACACACACCTAATTTACATAAGGCAGAGGTGGGATGGGGTAGGAAATCCCCCAGTGGGCTAGTCTGGTCCTGAAAGTGTTCATGGCCTCTCCCCACCCACCCTCATATGGGAGCAAATGAAGGTGTCTGAGGAAAGGGCATGGTGACAACCACAGGGTCCGAGTGGGTGGATGTGAACGGGGCCTGAAAGAATCCAGAAATTAGGTTAGAACGCGGGGGCTCGACCTCCAGAGAGGGCCCTGGGACGCTGACACAGCGGCCTCCCGGTTCAGGGTGTTCCCGGCTGCCCCATCTGCCTCCCCCGCCCCCAGGGTGCCTTTTGAAGCCGGGAGGGGACTTTGATCTGGGGTCTGCCCGACTCTCAGCTGGCCGGCCAGGTGCGCTGGGGGAGGGGCGGAGGGGCCGACCATCCCCCCGGGGCTCCCCCTCCCCCGGCCCCCTGCACCCCGCCCCCTCCCCCCACCCCCGGGCAAGGAGACTGTTTCCGGCTGTTGCAGGAGGGCACCCGAGCACCCCGACTCCACGCCTTGCAGCTGTTCCCCAGCTGCCCGGCCCCACCCCAAAGACAGCTGGGAGAGAGGCTGGGGGCGGGGAACGGGGCGCAGCTGCTCGGCTCCGGGGCTGGGACCGGGGAGGGCGGCGACATGAAAGAGCCTGGACCCGCCGGGGTGGCGGGCGAAGGAAGCCCCCAGGCGGTTGCCTCCCTGAGGGCTCCGCACATCTGGCCCACAGGAGCCGTCAGTGGGGAGGGGGAGACGCGCTCCGCTCCTGACCACCCAGCCCTGCCTGGAATGGGGAGGAGCGATCACCTCCCCGGAGGGCGGGGACGGGAGGGCACGGCCGGGCGGGGGCTGTGAGAGCAATATCTCGGAGTCTGAGCGGTTAGCCGAGGGAGGCACAGGGCGCTCCTGTGGCTGTGAGAGGTGTCTTGAGCGTGCAGGGTGAGGAAGGCCCCCACGCCTTCTCCAGCTGGCCCTGCTCCTGGGGCACCTCCAGCTTTCCTGGCCTCCTCTGCCCCTGACCCTTTTGGGAGGTGGGTGACAGCTGCTCCTGCAAAGCCAGGGACAGCTGGGTAGCTGGGGACAGCTGGATGGGGTGAGCGTCTCCCGGCTTCCCTGGCTGCCCAGGCACTCCAGGCCATACTACACAGTTAGCTGCTTGGCCTACAGCCTATGTGCCTGGGTGTCTATTTGCTAGGGTGGGCTTTCAGAGCTGGAACCTGGTGGGGTTCAAGCTCATCGCGCTACCACCAGTCTCCCCTCCATATCCCAGTTTCATTGATGTACCTGGAGAAAGAACCTCTTCCATCAGCTAAAACAAAACTAGGCCAAGTGGGAAAGAAATTGGGCAGCTTTCTGTCTTGGCTCCCAACTCCTGGCACAGAAGATGTCCCAGGGTTCCTGACAACCAGAGAAAGCGACAGTGAGTCAGGAGCAGATGTGAGTGGACTTAAATGTCTATCTGTCCACCAGCACCTGGCCCCAGGCATCCTTCCACCCTGGGTTGGAAGGGCACTGTGCTCCAGCCATCTGCCTCCCCTCAATAGCCCCAAACAGGTGCAGGGGAAGAGAAAGGGGCAGGCCAGCTGTTGTCATCGTGCTCCTGGCTCTGGCTCCTTCCCAAAGTGGGGAAGGGGGAGAAGTGAAGCAAGGGTCCACCCACCCCCACACTGAGTCATTTTCTACTCCCACAGGATGGGAAGATGGAGGCACTAGACCAACACTTTTGTCTGGCCAGCCCGACTGGCGGGGGGACATGGACTGACCATGCCCTCCAACTTGGGTGCTTATTTTTCTGAGAAGAGGGGTAACTAAGAGTCAGTGAGGGTTGGACCCCTGGTGCAGGACTTACCCATAGTTCCCTGTCTTGCTCTAGGCTTTCTGGGGCGGGAGGCATTCAGGCTCAGATTCTACCCAGACAAGGGGAAAGAGAATTAGGCACCCAGGAAAGGTTGACCCTCCTACTTTACACATAAGCAGATCCATGCAAAGTGTTGGGCAACAAATCAGAGATCCAGCAACCCCCTCACACCACTCCTGCTCCAACAGAGGAGGGCTTGGTGTGCCCCAGCCCCTCCTTCCAGCCCATGGGTCCCTGAGACAAGCAGGTCCCTGGCCAGTCCCTCATGGCAGCACTTCTCAAACCCCAGGATGTGTCAGAATTAGCAGAGGGTTAAAAATGCAGATTACTGGGAATTCCCTGGTGGTCCAGTGGTTAGGACTCTGTGCTTCCACTGCAGGACTGCAGGGAGCATGGGTTCGATCCCTGGTTGGGGAACTAAGATCCTGCATGCCGTGTGGCGTGGCAAAAAAACAAACAGGTTCCTGGGCCCTCAGTGATTCCAAGTCCAAGTAGGGCCCCAGGATTCAGCTCTTTTAACAAGCTCCCAAGCATGCTACTCTTTGAGCTCTGCCAAAGGGGATGAGGGTAGGATGTCTTTTTCACCTTGTTACCCTAGCACTGTGCCTCCCAGAGCACGGGGGATTTTCCTGCCTGCCCTCCCTCCATGCTCAGGGGCAGGGGCTAGAGCCCAAGTTACCAAAGGAAGCGTGGAGCTGAGTGACCCTCCCCGCTCCCCTCCCCCAATGGGGGCCAAGGCTCAGTTAGACTAAATTCCAAGATAAGGTCTGCTCTACTTCTGTGCCCTTGGCCCTACACAGTGCCTGACGCTTAGCATGTGCTTAATAAATATTTGTGGACTGAAGGAGGTAAACTCTGCAAGACTCATAGAAAGGTATTTCTTCCTTTGTCTGTCCTTGCTAAGAGCATGTTGGCAGAAACTCAAAGAGATGCCGGGGCCCATGCGGCCGGGGGCTGGGCCTAGGAGGCCCTCAGCAAATATTTGCCAAATGAACCCAAGGCTGAGACCAGACGCAGTTAGTACCTGACGAACTGACGTTCACAGGCCTGGAACAGGCTAAACCCCGGAGAGAATCAAGGCAAGGAGGGCAGGGGCTTCCATCCCTAGAGGGGCCCCTCCCCACACCAACGCCTGAAGACCCCAGGCCTGGGGGAGTTAGGGGTAAGAGGCGAGGCAGGGAGTGGGACTGCGCCATTATGTTTATTAGAAGGTTGGATTTCGGTGTGTGCTCTAGACAGATTACAGAATAAATACCTGCGCCTTGAGAACAGGAAGTCCACGATTCATACAAAGTGCTCACTACAGGAAGTCGCTGTGTCAAAATCCAGGCAAGGACCCAACTCCGGGCAGCCCCTCCTCTCCCGCTGACCTCAACAAGGGCTGTGCTATGGTTTTTTATTTTATTATTTCTTTTATTTCTCTTTATTATTATTAATATTATTATTATTTGCTTTTGCTGTGGTCACTATCATTGGCAAGGTTCCTCTCCCCTTTCCTGGACATGGGGGTTCCTGTCTTTAAGATTCCATTCTGAGGCTGAAGGTGCCAAACGCTGCTTGAGAAGTGGCCTTTGAACTCCGTCTGGGAGGATGGTGAGAAGGAAGCAGGAGAAATCATTCTTGGTTTTAAAAAAAATTAAAAAAAAAAAAAAAGCCCCACAATCTACAGGTCTTTCCTTATTTAGTCAGTGATCAAACTGCCCAAAAGAAAAACAAGAGGAGAAGCAGGCCAGTGGACACTGGTCCCTCCTCCCAGGGCTGGCTGAGGAAAGTTGGAAACTGCCCCTACCCCCAAGGCTTTAGGGGAAGCTGAGGCTCCTTCCAGCCACGGGGGTGGGTAGGGGAAGGAGTGGAAGAAAAAAGGAGAGACAGAGAGAGAGAGAGAGCTCAGCGCCTTGAGGTAGACGCTTTCCCAACTCCAGAGCCACCTGCAGCCCCGGCCCAGGCCAGCTCCCACTGTCACCTCCGAGTCCAGGAGATTCGTGATTAAAAAAAAATCAAAACAAGCCCCAAACAAAACAAAATCCAAAAGGAAAAGACTTGGGGAAATGAAGGAGGAAGGGAGGGAGGACAGGAAGGTAGAAGGGCAGGTCTCTGGATGCGTCATTCCCGAGCCACTGGGGGCTGAGGCGGGGAGATTCCCCAGCGCCCCACCGCCCGCGTAGCGTTAGCTCGTCACGTAGTGTTTGGTGGACGGCTGCCCATACACCCTGTAGAAATCCTGGTGGCCAGGCTGCTGGGAGGCGTCGAGCCAGTCTCTGACCGCCAGGCTGGGAAGGGACTGGGGGACGGAAGGTGTGGGCGGGAGCGCATGTGAGTACTCCTGTGAGGGCACTGTCCAGGGGAAGTGGCCGGAGCGGGGGTAGGGCTGGTGGCCGCCATGGTTGGCCACGGAAGAACAGTAACAGTTGTCCACAGAACAGACGAGAATCTTGCGGCCCCCATACTGGGGGAGCATGGGCTGCTGGGCGGCGGAGCCATTGGGATACTGCGATGGGGGGAACACAGGACTTGAGTGCACTGGTTGGGCGCCGCCCGGCAGGGCCACCAAGTGCTGCGTGGAGCTGCAGGGGCCCAGGGGCTGCCCTGACTGGCCCTCGCCGCTGGCTGTGCTCGCTGCCCCATACTGGCTGCCCACGGGGCCCGACGACGTCTCTAGGAAACTGGCCTCAGGGAAGGCCGTCGAGTGCTTGCGCTTTTCCGCCCCAGAGCTGCTCACACCACAAGGGTACAGGGGGACGCTCTGCAGGAAGGGCACCGGTGTGCTGAAGGGGCCTGTGGAGAGTTTGGGCAAAAGTCGCTAAAGCCCCTGTCCCAGGCAACCCAGGCCTCCTCTCCCCCGGGGACATTTTCCATCTGTAGGACCAAGCACAATACATCATGCACCATCTTGATGCTCACTACTCCGTTAGCAGGCAGATACTATTATCTTTCCCATCTTACAGCTGAAGAAGCTGAGGCTCAGGGAGGTACTACGGCTTGCCCAAGGTCCCACAGCTAGAAGTAGCAAAGCAGGGATATGAGGAAAGGGCTATCTGACTAGGCCAGGCTGCCTGTCAGAAGGAAGGTTCTGGCATTTACCCCTGCCCAAAGGGTTCTCTCCCTTTGATTGAGGATCCCACCCTCACCTTCTAGCATCTTCCGTAGCTGCTTCTCCTTCTTGGCCACCTCGTTCAGGAAGAGCTTGGAGTTCAAGTGGCCGATCTTAGGGGGAGAAAGGCTGCTGCCTGTACAGGTCTGGGTCCTGGGGGCAGTGGACGGGGCATCTGCTGTGAGGAGGTATCACCGGTAAGCCCGCCCTACCTCCCCGCAGTGGGCCTCGCCCTTCCTGCCCTCCCCCACATGTGTTCCCCTGAGGGCTGGTGGCCATCTGCTCACCTGTCCATTAGGATTTTCACAGACTTGGTGTTCTAGAGGGAGAGAAAAGGGTTAGTCAGTGGGAAAGGCAGCATGAGAGAGGGGAAGATGGAAGCTGCCCCATCCTCTCTCTCCCCAGGCAGGGCTGACCTTCTGATTCTGGCCAGAGTGTGGCGGGGCAGGGGGTGGGGTGTCTCCATTCTCAGAAGATTGAGCGCTTGCTATGTGACAGACAACACTGTAAGTGCTTTCTATACATCTATCACCTTATCTAAACGACTACCCTAGGAGGAAGGTTCTGCAAGCACTCAATCTTTTACCCCAAAAAATCTTTGGGGCAAGATGTCTTTTGGAATTTGGAATTTTTTGGACTTTAGAAGGGAAATATGATGCCCGTATCATAATATGTGATTACAGCGTAGGACACTGTAATCTAACACATCAATGTTTCTGCAGCAATATGTTTTGTTGTTTTTTTTTTGGCCACGCCTCGTGGCATGTGGCATCTTAGTTCCCTGACCAGGGATCGAATCCCTCCCCTGCACTGGAAGAGTGGAGTCTTAACCGCTGGACTGCCAGGGAAGTCCCAGCAATATGTTTCAATATTTGTACCAAGTAAAGATCAATAAAGGCCATAAATTGTCAGCATCAGTTCAGGTCAGTTTTTGCTGTTAAATGAGCTGCTGGAACTTTTTTCTTTCAGTTTTCAGAGATTTCTAAAACTTTGGCATTGCGGGTAACAGATAATAGATCTGTATTATCAACCCCATTTTATAAGTGAGGGAGCTGAGGCCTAGGGAACATATATGACTTGCCCAAGGTCACAAAGCTAGAAGGAACAGGGTGGGAGGGTTTTGAATCCATGAAGGCTGGCTCCAAAGCCCTGTGAGCATACTGGTGGGGGGAACCAGTTGGGGAGCAAAGCATCACAGACTCCAATTTAGAAATGACCCTTGGGGCTTCCCTGATGATGCAGTGGTTAAGAATCTGCCTGCCAATGCAGGGGACACGGGTTCGAGCCCTGGCCCGGGAAGATCCCACATGCCGCAGAGCAACTAAGCCCGTGCACCACATCTACTAAGCCTGAGCTCTAGAGCCCGTAAGCCGCAACTACTGAAGCCCGCACACCTAGAGCTCATGCTCCACAACAAGAGAAGCCACCGCAATGAGAAGCCCACGCACCTCAATGAAGAGCAGCCCCCACTCGCCACAATTAGAGAAAGCCCGCGCACAGCAACGAAGACCCAAGGCACACACACACACACACAAAAATCTTAAAAATGCCCGTTGGGTCCCACCAGCCGGTCCCAGGCCCAGCCCACCTTCATGAAGCTGACGTCCTCCGTCTTGTCGAAGAGCAGCTGCAGGGAGCCCAGCAGCTTCTTGGCCTCCTGCATGCGCTCCCCGAGATGCAGCGCCTGCGCTGCGTTCTCGCTGCAGAACTTGGCCTGGGCCTTGTCCAGGACCTCCACCGTCTGCCGCAGATCCTCATCCAGCAGCTGGTGCAGCTTCTCGTATTGCAGCCGCACTTCCTCCTTCAGTTGGCTCACCTTCTCCTGCGGGCACCGGGGCAAGAGTGGGTGGGCAGGTAAGTACTGGGGACTTCAGGCTGCTGCTCCTGCCTGTCTCACATCCTGGATGGGGGAGTCTGGGACCCCAAAGCCCCAGGCTGCCCAGGGCTCCCAAAGGCAAAGTCTGACCTGCCAATCCCCCACTGGTAGCACAGGGCTCTGGACAGGTACCCTGGCACCAGTGGGGGGCTCATCCACTGACGGTTCATTGAATGACTGACCAAGGGATTCCGGCATAGAGCCGACCACACAACAGATCCTAGCCCAAGGCCCAGTACCCAAGCCGCCCCCCACCTCATACCATGGGCTTGGGCTTAGCTACCTCCACCAGGCGCTTGTCTGACTCGAGTTTGTACAGCTGGTCCTCAATGTCCTGCTCTCGCTCCTCCAGCCGGTCCTGCTGCTTCATCAGCATCTTCTGCAGAGACAGTTGGGGTAGGGGCATCAGAGGAATGGGTGAGCACCATCCTTACCTCTACAGAACAGACTCATCCTCTGGATCCTTATTCCCAGACAACCTAAAATTTCTGCCCCCCCAACCCCTTCTGGCTCCCATGCAATCCCAGGGGCCTGGTGACAACTGTCTGGCCAGCCTGTCCCCAGGACGAAAAAGCCTGGAATGCTTCCCACACATATCTAAACCATAAACTTTCTGAGGGCAGGGTCAGGCCTGCCTCTTTTGTAAGCACTTTTCCTGTATAGACTTACCTGATCATTCTAGTAATGCTATGAGATACATACTATTATTATCCTCATTTCAGAGAAGAGGAAACCAGAAAGGTTAAGTAATTCACCCAAAGTCACACAGCTAGTATCAGAGCTGGAATACAAACCTAAATGACCAGGTAGTAGGGTCTGTTCTTATCCAAGTCATGCTGCCTCTCTCTGGGGAGCACCATCTCAGAAATGATGCAGAGGGTCACACAACCTTCCCGGGTCTCACAGGCCCTCTGGCCCGGTCCAGAGATCTCACCTGACGTTTGCCTTACACTTGGGGGGCATAAAGCCAGCCAGCTGCCCCCTTGCTTGCTCTTGATGCTGAGAGCTAGGCCTCTGAAGTCCTTGCTAACTCCCTCAGCCCCTCAGTTGGACCTGGGTGGAAAGGAAACTCTGGCTTTCCTAAGACCCAAGGTCAGTCTGCTGGAAGGTTCAGAACAATGCTGCTCTTCTCAGCCCTTAATCTTCTGTCTCTACAAGCCCTCTCTTCCCAGACCTGCCTATCCCAGCTGTTTCAGCCGCCCTGTCATCCTCCCTTGCCAGATACACCTCTTCAAACAGGGTCTCTCTCCTGCCCAAGATCCCTCGATGACCCCTCCTTCCAAACTCTGTAGGCTTTCTTACCTACAACCTGACTCTCCCAGCCAGGTGGGCTGGTATCCTGTCCCTGACACTGCAAATCTGAACTCCACGCACCCAGCTGGTGTTTTTCTGCAGCCCACAGTGCCTTCTCCCCATCCCTTGTCTATCCTTCAAAGCCCAGCTTAAGGTCCTGCTCCTCTAGGAAACTTTCCATGGCCCCTGCTCGGAGTCTGTGCAGGACCCTCCCTGTCTTGGCCATACAAGGGGCTGTCACATTCTGCTCTCCCTCTGTAGCTGTGCTGTCCAATACAGTAGCCACTAGTCACATGTGGCTATTTCATTTTAAGTTAGTTAAAAATAAATTAAATTGAACATTAGTTCTTCTGTTGTACCAGCCTCATTTCAAGTGCTCAATAGCTACATGCAGCTAGTGGCTAATGTACTGGACACCACAAACACAAAACGTGACCATCTCACAGAAAGAGCTATAGGAAAACACTATTCTATAGTCTGACCAACTGTGGTCTAATCTCCAAACAAAACTCAAGACCTCTTGAAAACAGGGCTTTGCTGCTGCATTTTTCCACTTCCCTTCCTAGCCGGGACCCACAAAGGCCCCAGCACCCTACAGATGCATAATGTGTTTCCTGAATAAACCCATGGGTTTTGCACACAAAACAAGGTTTGCAGAGCAGATTGCACAGAACCTACCTCACAGCAAGTGTCCACTCAACAAGAAGTGGTTCTTTTTCTTCCTCTGTGTGGACCTCAAAGTGACCCTCAAGTTTGACCCATGACCCCCACTCCTGTCCACACTCAGCTGGCTTCCAAAAGACAAGCCACCACCAATCCCTTATTCCCCCAAACCCCTTTACATATGGGGAAACCAAGGCCAGCCAGGAGGGTTCAGCGACCCTGTTTTTTGTTGGTGGCTGCCCTAGAACCAGGGCCCTGGGGACAGGAGGACGCAGGGGGTGAGGCTCTCAGATTCTGAGCTGGGAAAGCCTGGGGCACCCCGCCCCCCGCAACAATTTGACCTTTCAGTGACCCAGGACAGTACCTTAAGAGACAGGAGATGTTGCCCTGCCCCCCACCCCCAGCCCAACATGCACATGGATCTGCTGCCAGCCTGAGAGTCAGAGCCTGTAGAGAAACACAGCTGGCTGGGCGCAGGAGCAGAGGTAGTCACACACCCTCCCTTCCTGTGAAACTGCCCCCAGTCACGTGAAAAGGGCAGGCGGCACCCCACAGTATGGCCCACCCACATGCATACAACTGCACGCACACACACAAGCACACGCCACCACCTGGGCCCTGAGATCCCCTCGGGCACACTGTCACACACACACAGCCCTGCACAGTGAAGGCTGGCCCTCCTGAAGGCCCCCGATGACTGAGGGAGGCCTGCCTGAAGGCAAGGTGGCCAGGGTACCACCAAAGGATATGAGACCTTTTCACCTCCCCTGTTACAACTGACCCTCCATTTTTTGCCTGCTGGCTGCCTCGTCCCCACACTCGGGAAGCAGTCCCTCCAACTTGGATGTATCTCAGGCTCCAGGCCACTCCTGCCTTCCCAGTGCCCAGGATATCCGAGAGCCCAGGCCCCAGCCACACACACACATCTGTGCACCACGGTCTCCTGGCCCAACTACTTTTCATGACCAAACCCACTGGTATCAGAGTAGAGGTGCACCTGTAGCTAAGTCCCAGACGAGGGGCAGAAGAGAGGCAGCCCCAGAAAGGATCTCAGCCCCACTTCCCTCAGAGGCCTGGAATGGGGCTGTTCACTCCCACCCTCTAGGCCCGTGGGAGGCCTCTGTCCCACTCCCCTGCAACCCGTTCAGGGAGTTCATGGCTGACCCCTCAGGGCACAGCCAAGGGAGGCACTTCTTGTCTTGTCCTGGGGAGTGGGGCTCAGCCCCTTGCGCCATCTAGGCTTTTCTCAGATCCTTTCCTGGCAGCACGGCCACGCTGGGACCCTGAGGTGTCTTCCCTTGGCTTCCAGGTCCAGGTCCTGGTTCCTGCCTGCCCAGAGCCCTCTGGGGTGGAGCCCAGTCCAGGTCTAGCAAAGGCAGTGGCCACACTGCCTAGCAGGTGGCTGGGTTTCATTGGCTCTCCCCCAGCTCAGAGGCCATCGGGCTTCTGTCTCCACTACAGAGGGAAGGGAAGGGCCAGGAATAGGAAGAAAACTGGCCAGGGAATGCCAGCCAGGGAGGGCTGGGCGGGGGGCCCACCATGGCCAGCTCACCCTTGCAGGAACGGTGATCCCTCGGGGCTAGGTGCTCTTAATCCTGCCACAGCCAACACCGGGGGGAAGCAGGGGGCGGGGGGACACTGCTACCTCAGGCACTGGAAAATCGGGGTGGTGGGGAGGAAGGGAAATATCCACTTGCTGCCCCTTTAGTACCCCTCACCTCGATTCCACCAATGAATGAATCAGGTTGCTGAGAAGCTGGGAGATGGGGAAGAGAGGAAGCAAAGACCCCTCCCCACTACCAGCAGCCTCCTTTCCATCCCAACCTCCCAGAACTACTGTGAGCTGAGGCTCCACTGCCCACCTGGGAAAAACCCACAGCTGAGAGATTTCCCAGCTTGATTCAGGGCAAGGCCTCTCGGTGTGGGGGAGGGCACCTTACAAACTGCTCCCAGCCCAGAGTGGGTCATCTGGATTGTGGCACACCTCAGGTGTGCAGGGACAGAGGGGAGACTAGAATGGTCTAGACTAGGAGCACTTGAGGGACCAGGCCTCCAGCAGGGGCAGGGGCAATTGGAGGCCCAGCCCCACGCTACACCTGCTGGCCCAGGTGGGACCTGCTTACTGCTGTCCCTGTCCTTCCCTAAGGACCTAAGGCCTTCCACGGTCTGCTCCTGGGTCTGTGAGGGCAAAAGCATCAGGAAGACTTGGGGGCACACCATTCCCACCCCTCCAGGACCCTCATATCTGTCGCCTAATGTTCTAGACTCTGCCTTGAGCTGCTCCTCCAAAGCCCCTCCCAGCCTGGGGAGGGGGGCAATCATGAGCCCCTCACATTCCTGCCCTGGGAAAGCCTCACTCACAGCCCTCTGGAGACTGACTGGCCAGGCCCAGCTGGCATTTTTGATGCCAGACTGGACTGGGCAGACGGGTAAGGCCATTGGGACTCTAGGCTGTATAAAAGTTAATAAATGATAATAAAAAAACCCTCAAGTCAACCTTGAAGAGAAGCAAAGTCAGGAGGAAGCAGGGCCCCAGGATCTGGGCCAGAGGCAGACCTCAAGTTTGTAGATGGGACCAGAGCTGGGACCAGCCGCCCCTGTGATGGGGTGGAGGCGGGAAGAGGGCGCTGGGCTGCTGGAGTACCTCTGCCTGCTGGGATCCCTGCCCAGATGACTCTCATGCCAGCTCCAGCTCTGGATGAAGCCCCCGCTCAGAGCTACCCCCTCCTAACCTCCTCCCCAGCTGCCAAAGCCGCCCCCCACTCTCCCACATAAGCCCTTGTCCCAGGAATACGTCAGCCTCCCCTCTCCCTGGGCCACAGCACTCCCTCCTGGTCTCAGCCTTAGTTGTCCCTTCCCATGCCTCAGCCCCTACCTGGGGCTACCATGTGGACCCCCAGGCTGCGGGCAATCACAGACCCAGAGAGAAGAGGCTACAGAGCAGGAACCAGGGACAAGGAGAAAGGCAGCACCTCGGAGGCAAGCCCCGGCAGACCCCAGAGAGGGTTTCCCAGCTGCAGAGTGGAATTAGCTTTTGCCATGCAGAGTGCACTGCTCTGGGGCAGCAGAACAAAGAGGCGAGAGAGAAAGCCCCCCTTTGTCTGTGTTTGAATGCCAGGCCAGCCGGGAAGGAAGGCTTTCCCAGAGCCAGGGATGAGGCCAGCCAAGCCTGCCTGCTCGGTCCAGGGCTGGGGCCCAAGCCGGGCTCCCCTTCTTCCTATGACCACCCCAAATGCCCACAACACAGCATCGCAGGATCCATCCAGGCTTCCACCTCCAAAGCCCACTACAGGCAACGAGCTCACCGAAGGTGAGTCTCCTCCCCTCCCCAACACCTCCACCAGGTGAGAAAGTCACACAAGACTCACACCCACCAACCAACCACCATCAGGCAGGAACACACTAGCGCTGTCAACGACAGATACGTGTGCACACTCAACTTCAACTCGCAGGTGAACGGCAAGCAGGGCACCCTCCTCTCGCTCACACACACACACACGTGCACGTCTTCCCGACCCCACAGCCACATACAAGACAACTCCGTAATTAAGTCAGTCACTCACATTGCACCTTCTCAGAGATACACACGTTGAGATACAAAAAAGTAGTCCCATGTGAGATGCACAACCAGACGCACTGGTTACACACGCGCACACACACACCTGCAGACAGACCTGGATGCACAGGCACCCGGAGCTGCAACACGCAGAGTCATCAGCAGGGCGTGCATGACAGGCGTCTGGTCTGCCTGTGTCAGCAGGATCCTGGGGTGGAGGTGGGGGGCTGGGCCTCCGCCTCAGGCTCCTCTGCCCAGGGCCAGGGAGGAAGGCCAAGTCAGGCCCCCTCTTCCTGATCCTTCAAGATGGTCAAGGAAGGAGCAGCCACTTGACCCTCCCACCTCCCACCCCACCTGAGACCTCAGGATTATGGTCGGGGGCAGCGGAGAGCAGTGGGGTCCGTACCGCCTGAGCCAGGCTGCAGCCACAGCCCGGCTATAGCTGGGCCAGGGCGGCCCTCACTCCCAGAGCCCACCCGGAGACAGACACGTGGGGTGGAGACCTAGGATCCCCTCCAGGGTCCCAGGGCAGCCCCTCCGGCCATGGACAATGTGAGCAGGATGACCTCACCCCCAGCAGCTGCAAACCCCAAACTGGCCCAAGAAGTGGGATCCTGTCCCCAGAGAACATCTCCTCTCAACTCTAAACCTTCGAGAATGCAAGGAACAGGGTCCTGCGCACATTTCCAACCTGAATGCAAGGAACAGGGTCCTGCGCACATTTCCAACCTGTCTGGGGTACTAGGAATGACACAGAGGCACAACTATGACCTGAACGAACACACACACACACACACACACACA